CAATAAAGAAACCTGAATTCTCAATCATTGGTTACTGGCGCTAGTTGCAGACTAGTTTCGCAGTGCAAGATAGGCGAGCACAAAAAATCAGAGAAACAGGTTTAAAATAGATTCAGACCCATTGCATATTCTGATCAGTGATCAGAGTAGTACAACTCATAGTATGAGTATTTATCAATGTTTTTGGAGCTTCGGTTGAATACTTGTGTTATTCCACAGTTAATTTTTAAACACCTTTATTATTCGACACACTGTCAAGAATTCTTTGATTTTCTGATCCTGATATATATTTAATGTTATCTTTTAGGTAGTATTCGAACTATTCATAATCAAGACAGGAAAAGAACAGCAAAAAGTCAAGGATCTTGCAAGACAGGTAGTGCTTGTACCAGTACTATTTACCTTACGAAGGACAACAAAACAGGCTTATGTAATATAAAATATGTAGCTTTACATTATGCTCATGCTAATGAAATTCAGCATTTACGACTTCCAGCTTCTGATCGAGCCGAAATAGCTGAAAAATTGACCAAAGGCGTTTGTGTTTCAAGGTATGTCTTCATTGGTGATTTAGAAAAGTAACCAGGCCTATAATTTGGGTTTGGAATAAGGACGGTTCAAAACAATCAGACAGTTTATCAATTAACAAAATGGCAACAGCTCGGCTATCACAAATTTCAATAATAAACTGTGCGATTGTTTTGAACCATTCTAGAACCGTGCTTTTTTCAAACCTGAATAGGCCCAATATTATAAATATTGGTAATGCAGAATTATGCAGCTACAGTTTTTTTAAATATTTTGTAAATCAAGATCAATGCTAGCATAAAATAACTTTTTTACTATTTTATATAAAATAAGATTTTTTACTATTTTATATAAAATAAGATTTTTTACTATTTTGGACAAAAAGCCATATTATTGATAATTTAAGAGCTGTTATATAAATCTACTTATAAAAGTAAAATTTGAAATTTCTTTTTCTTTGTTTAAGAATTTTGGAATCAAATAGAGAAAAAGTATCATCAGAAAATTTAAAGCGAAAGGACCTATTAACCAGGATGGATATTGCTAATATTAAGAGTTCATATAATATTGCTATTAATGATGGAGTGAGACACCAAATTGATAGTGTAAGCGTTGAACTGTGGATTGAAGACTATAAGCCGCAGTCAAATACAGTTTTTTATAAAAAACAAGGTGAAGATCATGATTTTTTTCAAAACAATGACTTCTGTTTGATATTTATGAATTTTTCACAAGAATACATGCTAAGAACTTATGGAAATGGGAGCATTGTATGTGTTGATAGCACCCATGGCCTTAATGGCTACGATTTTGAATTGACCACCATTTTAGTTATTGATGAATGGGGAGAAGGATTCCCAGGTGCTTGTATGTTTTCAAATCGAAAAGATACAGAAGTTTTCATTTTCTTTTTTAATAAAATACAGGAGAAAACTGGAATTATAAAAGCCAAAACATTTATGACAGATATCACTAACGTATTTTATGATGCATGGAATGCTGTTATGGGACCAGTAAAATATCAAATTTTCTGCTCCTGGCATATAGATCTCGCATGGAGAGCTAATTTGAGCAAAATATCAGAGAAAGTGAAAAGGGAAAGTGTCTACCATGCCTTAAAGGTCTTACAGACTGAAATGGAAGAAGTTAATTTCTTAAAAGAGTTGGAACAATTTATACACATGCTGTATGAGGATCCAGATACTGCTAACTTTGGAAAATATTTTGTTGAAAACTATGCGAATAGGTGTGAAAAATGGGCATATGTTTATAGAAAGTCAGCAGGAGTGAATACCAACATGCACTTAGAATCCATGCATAAAAGCATTAAGTATTTTCACTTAGGTGGCAATATTGTCAAGAGATTAGACAAGGGTATTCATGCTGTAAATAATTATATAAGAAATAAAATTATAGACCGAATGATAAAACAAGTAAAAGGAAAAAATACAACTCATATAAATAAAATTAAAAAAAGGCATGAGACTGCATTGAAAAGTGCATTTGAAATCAAAGAGGAGCAAAATATCTGGCGAGTAAAAAGTGAGGACAAAATCTATATGGTTTCTAAGAATCAGGTGCAGAATTCATCATGCTGTGAATTAAAATGTATCGCATGCAATATTTGTATACACGCATATTGTTGTACATGTGTAGACTATTTTGTAAAAGCTTCAATATGCAAACATATACATTCTGTGATCCTTTTTAATCATTATGATATAAAAGAAGAAGAAAATAATAATTTGCTTCACGATAGCAATAATAATGAAATGGATGTGCATTTTAAAACACTGGCAGCAAGTAATATAAGTACAGAAAAACCCACACGTGAGTTACTGAAACAACAATGTTTAGAGGTTCTGAAACTAGATTTGTCTGGCATAGATGACACTGTTATCGAGCACGCTTTAAAACAGCAAAGGAACATCACTAATTTATTAAAAGGCAATATTAATATTACATTATCAAAGCTACCTCCTACAGCAGCACAAGGTGAACCTGCTAATAAAAAAATTAAAAAGCAACAAAACTTTTTTTCAACTAAAAAAAGAAAGTTGGCTAAAGATAAAATATCAGTTTCAAAACCAAGTAGTGATCAGTGCTTCAAAATGAAAAATACTTTACTAGGTCAAGAATTTATTTTGAAAAATAGTTCTGAGGAACATAATTATGCCTAAAAAATTATTGTATTCTTTTTTAAAGTGCAATACCTAATATCACTGTCAAAATACATAGATATTTAATAAAAACATTAAATATAATAATTGCATTGTTTTTTTCATCAAGAGAAACCACCGGAAAATCCTTAATATGTTTTTTTTTTTTCAAAGATATGAGAAAATCACGATGGTCGATGTCCATGAAGTTATAGATCCATTTCCATTCAGGCTAGTTTCTAGTGCTTTTTCAGGCCAATTCTCAGCTTAATTTTTATATTTTCCATTTTTCGCGCGTTCTAGCAAAGAGTAAAATTGGCAACATTGCTAAATCCCTCACACATGCGCATACTTGTGATCACTGTCTGACATATAATTGCTCCTTATATTTTACCTGCTTTTAGAAAAATATGCAGATAAGCTCAGACTGTTCTGATTAACAAATGAAAATCTCTCAAAAATTGTGGTTAAGTTGAGGGTGCGCCCAGGTAATGACGCTGATATATCTCTCTTTTTTGCACTAATTAGTAAGTGTGTTTCGAATATAAGACGAAAGTTTGATTCATTTCATACTCGAATACAACATCTATGACGTAAAATCAAGGCGCGAAATATTTTCGTTTAAATAGTGTGTCCCAAAACTCTAGTTTTACAACCGTTTTAAACAAAGTTAGTAATTTTTTCTGAAATTTCTTTTAATACGAATATTTTTTATTTACTTCATAGATGAAGAATAGATCATCGATTTTATTGGAATCATATCTTGTCCACTACTCTATTAGATGGCTGGAGTTTGCCTCCTTTCTTGAAGATTGGGACCAATGACATCAAAACACAGATAGACGGATCATCCCATTCATAAACTGATATTTGTTGTGTTGACAAGACCACCCATGGGCCAGGGGAGGTCGCGGGGTCGGGGGGAGACATCATTGCTCAAAATGGTGTAAAAAACTCCGCCCACACGTGAATATATCTCAAAATTTAATTGGATGAATAAATAAAATAACAAATTGACAAATAAACTGAAAATATTCGATACGAGCCCTTTATTCTGGGAGTAGCAATATTGTATTTGTCGTTTCTTGTTTATCGCTAATGAATAATCCCTGTTTGCCATTCAACAAGCCGCTTCTGGGCGGTGTTTTGCTACAACCTGCTGTTGCCAAATTGAGTTCAGAAATAAAATTGAAAACGTTAATTAGAAAAGGAGAAAAATATATTATTTAGGGATTCAAGATAAAATTTGGCATTCTCAGTGGTGGGGATAGCACAAAGACCCAAAAGAGACAGAGATGTTGTCGTACGAAAATTTTGTTTATTGTTCCGTCTATCTGTGTTTTGATGTCATTGATTGGGACCATAATTGGGGTTTTCCATTTTTCTGGAATATGGGCCCCGCCGACTCCAGAGAACAGTTTTCAAGAAAAAACAATTGAATTTTGTCAAGGCTAGGGCTGGATTCTGCTTTCAAAGATAAAATGGCATCTTGTACTTTTTCTGGATTGAAAAGTCAATAATTTATCTCGGGGTATGGACCGCAGCTGGGGTAGGAGAGTGGATAGATTGTGGTTTTCTTGGGTGAAAACACTTTGGAACTGATCTGCGAACCAGTTAGCTATTTCATCCTCATGCTTAATAATCTGATATTATGTCATTGAGTTTCTAAGCACAAAATTCTGAATATGTGTATTTAGGGAGTGTTTTATGAAGAAGTAGAATTTTTGTCCGTTCCCGGTTCTTTGTAGTAGATTTGGTTCATATTCTTTTCGGGCTTGGTTTAGGATTTGCTTTGTTACATTGTTTTGTTGTTGATAATGCTTGTAGTCAGTGTTTATCCATGGTTTCCTTTTTTTTCGTAGTTTGGTTGAAAAACGTCACTGCTAAGCCAATGTTTTTTTTTTGGGTTGACAAGTTTGAAGTTTAGTGGTACATGTAGCTTGATAGTTTTCGTTATAAAATTTGTTACCTCTGCTGCATCTATTTGGCCAGCTGTTTTTGTTGTTGACAAGTATCAGATCCAGCAGCGATACTTTGTTATGTTTCTGTATCTTGTGGGAGTTTGTGTATTAGTTGGTGAGTTAGTATATATTTTTTTGATATTAAATTTTCTAATCTTTTCCATGTTTTATTTAAGTAACACCAATTTTTTAGTCTACCCTGGGTATTTATTTTTGACCTAAACAAGTTCTTACCATATTATGTTTTGATTGCCTCATACTTAGCTAACCAAGTTTTACCTTTTTCACTTGAGGATTTAATTTGATTCTCAACTTTTTTTTTTCAATATTGAATGTAAAATATCAATTTCAGGTATCAATTTCTGGAGCCTAACCAACAGAGAAGTAGTACTCCACGAAGTCTACGATCACGGAATAGGCCGCCTAGACTGCGACTCTGAAGATTTAGTGAGCGAAAATGACAGTATATTTACCCATAATGAAGAAGTTGGGGTGGATGTATCTTGTGCCTCCATGACACCAGATACTAGAGGCAAACAATTGTCCATTTTGTCGTCGTCACTGACCAAAGAAAGTTTGGATAAATTATCAGTCAGTGATTGGGATAGGTTACAAACCAATAAGCCAGTTATTAGGACAAGCGATAAGAATAACTATTTTGATCTCTTAAGCGACGAAGTTATTTTACAAATCTTCAGGTGGTTACCTAAAAACTCCTTGATTGAAGTAGGCTTGTGCTGTAGACGATTCTACGGATTAAGTCAAGATGAAAGCTTATGGACTCGGATGGATGTTTCTAATAGAATCTTAGAAGACGGTAAACTAGGAATAATTTTAAGCAAACAAGTTATTGTTTTAAGACTGGCCCGAACACACATTATGCACAAGGCAATTTTACCTGGCTGCAAAGCTTATAATCCAGACTTCAGATCTCGTTTATTATACTTAGATTTAAGTATGTCAAACATTTCTATTGAAACTCTGATATTATTATTTTATAAATGTAGAAGACTGAAAAAATTAAGCTTGGAAAATGTACCTCTAAACGATGAAGTATTAATAGCCTTATCGGCCAGTAAGGATATTGAAGTTATTAATTTTTCCATGTGCAGAGGAATACAAGAGAATGGTCTGAAACATTTGCTCACCAATTGTAGACAAATTAGGGAGCTTAATATTGCTTGGACTTACCTAAGTAGTCATAGTATCAAGTATGTTTGTGAAAATGCACCCTCCACAATGGACCGGATTAATTTTTCTGGATGTAGAAAACTCATGTCGGACCAGCATGTTGCTAGTTTGGTAACGAGTTGTCCGGAATTACGCGAATTGGATTTGTCCGATTGTACTGCTATAACAGGAGAATCGGTTAGGCAAATCACTGCCTTGGTGAATTTAACCATTGTGGCCTTATCCAGATGCTATATGATTCCATATAAAGCGCTTAAGTATTTGAAAAAATTGTATAATTTATCTTTTTTGGATATTCATGGAGGCTACATTGATTTGGCTGAGCTGGCAGAGGTACAAGAATACTTAGGGGCTTCAGTGGAGATTAATAAGTTTAAATTCAGCTCAGTCGCAAGACCAACTGTGGGTCTGAAAAGATCCAGCATATGGAATATGAGAGTCAGAGATTAAAGTTGTGAAAATTGTTTAACTCTCAGGTTGTTCTCTTGAATGAAGCTCAGGTTCGTTTCAGTATGAATGAAACTCATTTTTATTGGTTGGAGAATAATTTATTTCCAACTGGTTTAAGCCCAATCAAAATTTCTCTGGCTGTTTTGTGCAGAAACATAGCTAAAGCCTTGGTTTCCGCAAAAGCGGCACTGTCAAATAGTGATCGTTATATTACGGCAAATGACGTCACAAAAATGTTTTCAATGTTTTTCATTGCAAGCGATTTCTAAGACAGTGCCGCTTTCGAGGAAACTAGAGATGTAAATTTTTGTTACTTTTGAATACTCGTTACTTTGATAACTTGCATAAGTAGGTTGGTATATCTTTGAAATAGCTTGTTATTCTTAATATCACCTATCATGCTCCATCTTTATTAATCATTATAAGAATTTTTTAATTTAATTTTCAAAATAATCCCAAGTGCAAAAAAACTAAATAAACAAAACATATCCAAAAATATAAACAAATATCAGCAAATCCAGGTAGTTAACCTAGAGGTCATAATTACAATATAAAATACAAACAGGCTGTGCTTGACAAATATTTGAGAACGATACGAAATAGGATATGCTATGCAATTATAGCGGTGAGTTAAGGGCCCCATACACTACGATGAAACACGACGGTTTTCACCGCCACGATGAAACACGTCGTTCTAAAACCGAAGTGTGATATAGAAAAACACGACGGTTTATCTACAGGGCCCCTCAGACTACGATAAAACACGACGGTATTCATCGCCACGATGAAACACGTCGTTCCAAAACCGAAGTGTGTGGTAGAAAACCGTCGTGTTTCATGGTCGGTTTAAAATTCAGTCCGAGCTTGATTTTTGGCACGACGGTTCAACATTTTGTACACACGAACGGTTTTCTACCACACACTTCGGTTTTGGAACGACGTGTTTCATCGTGGCGGTGAAAACCGTCGTGTTTCATCGTAGTGTATGGGGCCCTGTAGAAAACCGTCGTGTTTTTCTATTACACACTTCGGTTTTAGAACGACGTGTTTCATCGTGGCGGTGAAAACCGTCGTGTTTCATCGTAGTGTATGGGGCCCTTTACATAATATGTCGTGTTATCAAAATGTTAAAATATTCAAAGTAACGGAGTAACGATATAGTTCTTGGTTCGGTACTCGTTACTTTGGGTATTGGGAAGTAACAAGTACAAAGTAACGGGTAGGTAGTTACTTTTTTGACATATTCTCTAGAGGAAACCAGGGCTTTATAATTAAAGGCTGTTTGTTGACTTATATAATTTTAAGGGTAAATTGCTTCCTGTGAGGTTTTTTTCTAATGTTAAGTGGGCTGTGTGGGTATTGACAGAAAAATGTTGTTTTTCTTTTCTAGTATTTTGCTGATTTAATTTATTTAGTATTTAATATTGTATTATAGAATTTTGTAATATTTATTTTGAGTTGATAATGTAGATAATAAATTTATATGAGGGAATGTTTTTTTGTTCAATTTATTATAGGTTGGTATCTTCAATATCTTATTTATTTGGCGGAAACATGTCTAACATGCGAGGTACAACAGCTAGAGACATATACAGTAGGGGGTGTATATCAAGATAGTTGATTTATTTGACATTTTGCTCACATGGGGTTTTAAGTTGTGATCCAGCTAATACTTCCATCAGTTTGTTCTTTAACATTGGATAATATGGTATTATTATCATTATACGAATTGACAATATGGTGATCTTACGTTGTAATATAGATTTGAATTTTTTTCTTTATCAATGTTTAGTTTTTTGTGCATATTATATCCTCTAACAATTTCGCCTTTTATTTAATTATTATTATTATTACTGTTAACAGCAGTAGGTGGTTTTTAAAAAACCGACAAGACTGCAGTCTCAACTACCTCAACATAAAATGGGGAAGTCCTATAAACTGAAGATTTTATGATGCGATCAGAAGCTCCTATTGGACGCAGCTGCCACGTTCTTATTACTGCCAAAACGCAGCTTAAACTTCCACCAACGTTATCTCATAAGGTCCTGAGAAGAAACTACTACATGGCAGACTACAGCAAAATCAGTGACGTTATTTTTGAAGCCAGAAAAAGTTATGAACATGGATTCACTCCCGAATCGCCTAAAAGAATATTTAAATATATAAGCAGGAACCTGAACTCGAAAGTAACGATAATTACTCCGAAAGAACCCATAACAAAGTCTAGACGGCAAATCCATGGCAGTTTGACCAAGCCTTTACTCAGCAGAACCTTAGTCTCCCTGTTTCACTGATCCATAGGAGGGATAGGCGGTTCTAGCCCATCTGTGCTAGGGGGGCTGAAGCCCCTGCTCCGAGGTCGCTGCCACGCCCAAAAACCTTATATTTTAATAAATAATTATTCAAAATTGTTTTTATTCAAATTATTAAAAAAACAACGTTGCTACAAGGTCTGTTCCAACCCCTCAAAACACCGTTCATGAACGGTTTCGGAACCACTCAGTAAGCGAGTTTCGAGTTCTACGCACAAATTTTAGGCTTTGCGCATAATCGTGACGGTACATTGTACTGTTTCCTGCTGTGTTGAAACAAAGCTATAGATTAACATCGTATCTAGATAATGCCGCTTAGCAGAGCAGCGTGTAAGTTTTGGCTGCTCCTACTTATTACACACACCTATAGGCAACAGAGGCAACCCTGTCCCTAGCAGTGGGGGCTAGGGTTGCCTCTGTTTCCAGACGTCCCGCCCGATTTCGGATATTTATGAAATAATTGAATAAAATTTTATGAAATAATTAGATAAAGGTAATAAATCAGTGAAATTAATGAAATTATGTAGTTAATTAATCCTAACGCTTGAATATTTTTTATTCAGGTACTGCGAACTTTTTCCACTCATCACTAATTTAAATTTGGGAGGGCTAATTCCAGATTTGGGGGGGCTTAGCCCCCCCTAGCCCCCACCTAGAACAGCCTATGAGGAGGGTTGAAGAGTCTTTTGAATATATAACTTTCAATGAAGAATCCAAAGAAGCCCTAAAAAATATGAAAAAAGTATGAAATACGAACGATAGTACTGCAGAACTGTAGCAAATCGATTAGTTCTCGACTAGCTGAGGCTATGCAGGAGTGTTTAACACTTGGAAAAATTCCACAGCAAGAGAAAAAATCAATAGTGACTCCACTATTCAAAAAGGGTGATCGACATAGACCTATTAGTCTAACGTGCAATCCATTAATTTACATGGAAAAGACAATTATTACGGAGCTGACAGCATTTTTCTTTGAAAAAAATCTCATACCACCCTCACATTTCTCTCTAAACGTTCTACAACAACAAATTTACTTGAATGTCTTCAAGACTGAACAATCATGATAATTCTCAACCCACAGATCTGATCTATCTCGGTTATAAGAAGACAAAGTCCCACATGATCTACTTCTAAGAAAGTTGAAACACTTTGGAGTTAGAGGTAAACTCATCGCATTAATAGAGAACCTACTGCATGAGACATTTTATCAAGTTAGAGTCGATGGTGTGTTGTCAAATCAACATCTTGATAGTAACAAAGTTGTCCAAGGTTTGGTCATAGGCCCTTTGCTTTCCACATCATAGTTGTTTGATCTTGTCAGTCTCATTAAATCTAAAATGAAAATCTTCGCAGGGCAGCTAAGGGCTGATCTAAAAACTGTTGAAGAATGGACTACAGATTGGGGAATGAAGTTGAACAAGTCCAAATTTATAGTCTCAAAAATCGGCCCAAACAATCCAGACGAAAAATACAAACTAAACAGTACGACATTACAATCTGTGATAACTCAAAATGACCTCCTAGGAGTCGTGATAACTTCAGACTTGAAATGGGAGAATCACATTTTGAAGATTTCCAAAAAAGCCAATTTTTTTGAATGCCTCATTAAACAAGCATTTAAAGAACACAAGATAGAAATGATAGGCAAACTGTATAAAAGTTAGATACAACCAAAACTTGAATGCGCTTTCTCCGTGTGAAATCCCTACTATGTCAAAGATATAGAAGTTCTAGAGAAGATACAAAGACGAGTTACAAAAATATTACAACTACAGCACCTTCCATACCCAGAGAGATTAACAAGAGTAAAACAAACAACTTTAAAGGAGAAAACATAGAAGAGACTTAATCTAAACATAGAAACAAAATAGCCATTAACTACTATAATAATTCCAATATCAGAGAAACCTTTGTACAATACCAAAACAATCTTCGTGGGCAGTCCAAGAAACTCTAAAAAGAAAAAACCGTGAAACTGCATAGAAGAAGAATGTTTCTGAGCAACAAAGTTGTTTCTTATTTATGAAACGCCTTGGAAGAGCAGACAGTTTCAACACCAAGTGTCAAAGAACACGAGAATAGTGCAGTTAGAATGATACACTTGATCTCGGATTTGTGTTGACTAAGATGGAAGATGCCTTTCAGATTACAGGCATAGTGACTATTGATTATTTTATGGTTTTTAATACGATCACCTCTGATTCTCCCGTCGCCTAAAGTTGTGGGGTATAATCATACGAGCCTTTTCTCATAGGGGAAATCTTTAAGTTCATGCGATAATCGGTTATTCTTTTTTAAATTCTCTCTATCTGCTGTATGTCTTTAAAAAGAAAATATTTATGGAAATTAAAGTCAAGCGAAAATTGAAAAAGTTGGAGTTAGTGCGGGATTTGAACTCGCGACCATCGCAACGCTAGTACTAAACTCAACTCAACTCAAAATTCTTTATTTAAATTATTTCACATTTGTACAATTTCAGGTAGGGAAGTTAGTCCCCCCTCAAACTAAAAATATATACAACATTAACTTAACCTAGGACAATCAACTTAAAACTAAAACTCCGGTGTGCGCAGACACCGTGCCCCAGACACGCCTGGCGTGCTGTGAGGGCGTGTTTCAGTACGGTCGGATGTTATGACCAACAAGCCTCTGTCCTATCCTTGCTTGTACTCTATCGCAGCGTTACCTGGTCTCCCTTAGACGCTGTTTTTCGACCCTAGGGTCACTAACAAATACCATGGTATGGTAAGCATTGGGCCATTACATGGCCTACCAGATGATGTGGTGTTAATGGATGCAGGATATGGGTTGCCGAACGCACAGCGCCCGTTGTGTGGGGAAAAATGATTAAAAAACCCCACTTTTCATTGACTTAATATTATATAAAAAACAAAAAACAAAAAGCTGTGCCCTTATGGGCGGTTTGGTCCAGGGGACGCGCGCTCAACAGCAAGGCTGAGCTCTAAGGGTGGATGAGTTAAGGGTTGTCAAAGAATGAGGATTGGGAGGATTGGGTGCAAGAATTTACCGGGATTGGGATGAGCATTTATCAGCTAAATTGGGCAATTTTGCCTATAATTGTTGGTCGAATTGGGGGTGTTTTGATGGTAATTAGACAAGTAGGTTTCCTCATAGTCAGCGAAAGAGGAGTTTGCTACACACTAGTTCGCTCGCCAGTTGGAATTTTCCGAAGAACTGAGGATTGAAATTAGACCTTATGACTGGATTGCCAGAGTCTTGGAAGACATCGCAGCAGATTTTCGCTGCAAGAAGTGTGGTGTTGTGACGGGGGCGGAATCCGAACTGCTCGTTTGGGAGAATGGAGAAGTTTTCGACGATCCTGTTGACCCTGGCCAGGATTAACTTCTCCACGAGCTTGGCAAAGGAATTTAGAAGGGAGATTGGGCGGTAAGAGGATGGGAGTGTAAGGTTTTTTCCAGGTTTGGGGATCATAACCACTACAGCCTTTTTCCATTGAAAAGGAAAATGCTGTAGTTTGAGGATAGCGTTTGTTATTTGTACCAGCTGGACAATAACTTTACGCGGGAGATTTTTAAGGGCTCGATATGGGATGCCATCTGGTCCGGGGGCCTTCTCGCTTGGGAGCCGGCGGATAAATCTTGTCATCTCGCCGGGCGTGACAATGAGTTCAGCGAGCAAGTGCTGGGGGATGGGGTATTTCCGAACAGCAAAGGCTGCCGCTGCACGCTGGATTTCATCCTGTTCAGGGGAGTTGGGTGGGAGTCCGGAATGAATACTCTCCATGAATGAAGCAATCCCTGCCATTACTTTTAATGGCAGGGCTACGCACAGGCTGCCGCCTCATTTTGGACTGAAGACGCCACAGAGAATTGTCTTGAGGATGAAGGTTTTGGAGGGTTCGTGTCCATCTACGGTTCCGGTGCTCGCTGATGCCATTTTTAATGGCACCCTCGAGCTCCCGAACTCGTTGGCGATCCTCGTCCCTTCGGAGGCGTTGCCACCTCCTCCGGGTGCAATTCTTCAGCGAGATGAGTGCAATGAGCTCTCGTGAGAGCTCCTCTCGGCCTTGATGGACAGTCACACGGTTAGCAAGGGAAGTTTGGGTTTGCTGGACATTCCTGGTCAAGGTTGAAACCTCTTGCTCAAGAGCTTCAATGGTGTCAATTTGACCAGGAATTTGGGTAATGGTGTTGAGAGTCTGCCGAAACAGGGGCCAGTTGAAGTTTTTATAACTCAGGCGAACTTGTGGGCGGGGAGGATCAAGTTCACCCCAGGTGAAGAAGATGGGTAAGTGATCTGAACTCAGAGCGTTAATCGTGACGAGATCGGAAAGTTCCCTGAGTCCCTTGCTGATGGCAATATCAATGTATGTAGGTGTCATGTTATTACTAGGATAATGGGTGGGCGATTCAGTACTGAGGAGTATCAACTCCGGTCTGTCATTGACGAAATCATTTAGGATCATACCGTTGGTATTGCCTCTATGATTCCGCCAAAGTCTGTGTCATGCATTCA